TGTAATTTAATGAGCCAGGCATTCTCATTAAACTGTCAGTGGAGACGACTGTGAATATCACAAACAAGTCTTTTTCCTCTTCTCTCCCAGAATCATGCAGTTCAGAGGTTCATAGCCGGAAGGGACCTCAGAGACATTGTGGTCCAGCCTCTTTATTTTGAGAGAAGAGGGAGGAGAGGCTGAGTGACTTGCCTAGGGTCACACAGTTAATAAATAGCATTTCAACTCAACAAACATTGTTCAAGCACCTACTATGTGTAAGGCCTCAAGCCAGGTACTGGGTTTACAAAGACAAAAAATGAGATAATCCCTGGCCTAAAGAAATTTATAGTCCCCTGGAAAGGTGCAATGTGTAAATGCAGAGGGACTGAGGAGGGAAAGAGATTATGGACTTGGGAAAGCAGGGAAGGCTTCATGGAGGAGGTAGAAAGAAGATAAAGGAAAAAAAGGAAGATAAGGATGCTGACAGACTAAGGTTCCTTCAAAATTAGAGTAGTCAGGAAAAAAATCCAAACCTACAACAAAGACAATGGAGCTTTATCAGCACAGAAACAGGAAAAGGGGGAAATTTTGTGGAAGGGAGGAAAGGGAAAGTCCAGACCTAGGAGTGCAGCAATCAAATGTGATAGCATATGCAAATGCTAATTATGTATATGATAATATATGTAAAGGATCTTGCAAACCTTAGAGCACTACCTGCTAGTTAGTTAGTAGTAGTCGCCATAGTACTTATTTTGTTGGTTTAGAGAACTCCTGGTAAGTAAGTGCCTCTACCGTGTTTTATCCTTGCATTTTCAGATCCCTACTTGTCCAGGTTGGGCAGCTAGCGGGTACCATAGTGCGCAGCGTGCTGGGCCTGGAGTCAGGAAGATCTGAGTTCAAATCTGGCCTCAGAGACTTACTAGCTATGTGTGACCTGGGCAAATCACTTAACCTGTTTGCCACAATTTCTCATCTGGAAAATGAGCTGGAGAAGGAAATGGCAAACCACTCTAGTATCTTTGCCAAGAAAACTCCCTGAAAACACCTAAACAGCAAAAACACTTGTTCAGGTACCCTTCCTAGACCTTTTTGGAGTAGTTGTTGGAGGGACCCAGGCTATACTGCTTCCCTCCTCCTCCTCCTCTTCTACCTTGGTCTCTCTCCTCTAGAAATCCCTCTACCATTGCAGATCTGAAATTGTCTTACAATTTATAGTTTTCAGGAGTTGCTTGTGGCACTGAGAGGTTAAACGATTTTGCCCATAATAACACAGACAGTATATGTAGACTTAAACCCAGTTTTCCACAATTCAAGGCCAGTTCTTTGTTCACTACATCACACTGACTTTCAATACATTATTTTTGCTCATATTTTGTTAAAATTGATGTTATCATTAGTATTTGTTTTCTTAACTAAAATGTGCACTGTCTACCACTCTTGAAGCTCTTGTCTCTTTATCTGCCTTCCATTCATATCCTGCCAATCTTTAATTGCAGACCACCCCACCCTCTGCCTTTACTGCTTCTGCTCCTGGGATGCTGAACATGGGCAGAAGCCATGTGATGGCATTGGCTGGAAATGCTAAAAATTCAACTCAACTCAACTCTTACTTCTGTTTGACAAAACTTTCATTGTTCCCTGATTGACTTATTCTCCTCTTCCCCATAATAGTTTCTATAAAACTTCCCCTCTCTCCTTGGAAGCTCACCCCAACTCCTACACTTTTTGTTTCTCACCTGATGACCTCCCCACCTGCTCTCCTGAGAATGGTTTCCATTGAAGCCATGGGTTATAAACTCCCTTATCTCCTCTATTGCATACCTCAAAACCTCTCAGTATATTTACCCATCCTCTCCCTCTTTGTTCCATTCTCTGAGGAAGAGATAGTTCTTTGCCTCGACTAAGATAAGCCCTCAGCCCTAACCCTTCCCATCTCTTCCTGGAGCTTGTGACATCCATCATTCCATCCCTCTCTCTCATCTTAAATGTCTCCCCTTCAACTGGCTCCTTCTTTGTTATCTACAAACATTCCCAGGTCTCCCTTGGCATTCAAAAAACCTTTTATTGTCCATCCCATCCTATCAAGGTATCACCACGTCTGTCACCTCCTTTTCACTTCCAAACTCCTAAAAAGATGTGTCTGTACTTTCTGCTGCTACCTTCTCATCATCAAATCACTTCTCAGCTCCCTGTAATTTGGTTTCCAGCCCCACCACTCTGCTGAAATTGCTGATCTCTTATTCACTCAATACAAAGACCTTGTTTGCTGTTTTGGGGAGGGTGAAGAGTCAGGAATGATGCATGAACCTGCATGACCAGAAGGGGAGCGGTGCTCTCAACAAATCATAGGGAAGTTTAGAAGAGGATGGGTTTGGGGGTGAGAGGGAAGATGATGAGCTCTAATTTAGACGTGTTGAGTTTGTCATGCCTATTGGGCATCTAATTCTAAGTCATCAATAGGCAGCTGGTGGTGCAGGACAGGAATTCAGAGACACTAGAAATAGATCCATAGATCATTCTCCCAGACCCCTCTGCAGATTCTGGGGTTTTTTTTGGGTTTTTTTTTGTTTTTGGTTGCTAGGCAATGAGGTTAAGTGACTTGCCCAGGGTCACTCAGCTAGTACGTGTTATGTGTCTGAGGCTTGATTTGAACTCAGGTCCTCTTGACTCCAGGGCTGGTGCTCTATCCACTGGGCACCCTGGCTGCCCCCATCCTCTGCAGCTTCTGAAACAGCTGACCAAGCCACCCCCTGAATACTCTCTGCTCCCTTGGATTTCATGACACTGTGATCTCTTGTCCTACAAATTTGACTAGTTCTCTATTTCCTTTGCTGGATCATAGATCTAGAGTTGAAAGGACCTCAATGGTCATGTAATTCAATCCCCTCTTTTTTTTAAATGAGGAAACTGAGGCCCAGGGAAGTTAAGTGACATTGCCCTGGTCATATAGATAGCAAGTTGTCAAAAGTAGGATTTGAACTTGGGTTCTCTGACTCTAGAGTCAGGGCTGTTTCCTGGCGATAAGTGTGAACATCTCACTAGGCTCTGTTATCATCATTACACGATTGACTCACAAATCTAAATATCCAGTCTTAGTTTTTCTCTTTAACTTCCACATTGCCTTTAGAATATCTCTAGCAGAGGGGCAGCAAGGTGGTGCAGTGGATAGAACACCGGCCCTGGAGTCAGAAGAACCTGAGTTCAAATTTAGCCTCAGACACTTACTAGCTGTGTGATCCTGGGTAAGTCACTTAACCATGAGTGCCTCAAAAAAAAAAAAAGCATCTCCACCAGGATGTCCTGTTGACGTCTCAAATTCAACGTATCATCCCAATTTGATCACCTTGATCCCTTCCTTCTCCCTCACTTCCCATATCCAATCAGCTGCCAAGTTTTTTTGATTCTACCTTCACAACATCTCACAGATCTACCTATCTCTCTCTCTCGCCACTCCCTGGACCCTTGTCCTAGTCCAGGGCCTTGTCACCTATGGGGGAAGAGCCGTATTACAGAGGGAGGAGCTTTGGCCCGTGAGTTAGAAGACCTGGGTTCAAATCCTGGACTATGATGTTTACTACTTTTATGATCATAAATAAGTTGCTTAATCTCCTTGCACCTCGGTTTCCCCATCTATAAAATGAGCAGGTTGGACTAGATGGCTTATGAGGTTCCTTCCAGTTCTAACTCTGTGATTCTATGGTTAGTCTCTTGCTTCCAGTCTCTCTTCTCTGTAATCGCTCTTCCATACAATTGCAAAAATAATATGCTATGGCATAGGTCTGACCACATCACTCCCCTGCTCCAAAACCTTCAGGGGCTCTCTACTGCCTTGAGGATAAGTGTAAATTCCTCATCTGGCACTGAAAGCCATATATAATCTGACTGCTACTTACCTGATTGTCCAGCCTTATTTCATATTATTCCTCTTCTATGTTCCATCCAAATTAGACTAGCTGCTCCTCAAACTCTCAATAGTCTATATCCAGCTGATGTGCATTCCCACAACCTACTTCCTGTGCTTGGAATGCACACTCTCCTCATCTCTGCCTCGCCAATATCCTCAGCATCACCCTAGCTCACAGTTGCATAGCACTTTGAGAAAAGTTGGATGGTGCAGTGGATAGAGTGCCAATCCTGGAATCAGGAAGACTCATCTTCCCAAGTTCAAATCCAGCCTCAGACACTTAGTTACTGTGTGACCCTGGGCAAGTTACTTAACCCTGTTTGCCTCAGTTTCCTCATCTGTAAAATGAGCTGGAGAAGGAAATGGCAAACCACTCCAATACCTTTGCTAAGAAAACCCCAAATGGGGTCACAAAGAGTTGGACATGACTGGACAACAACAAAATAGCTTCATTATTTCATGACCAAGCTTCACAGGCACTTTGTGAAGTAGGTGCTATTATAATTCTCATTTTACAGAGGAAGAAGTGGAGGTTCAAAGACAGCAAGTGACTTCCCCAGGGTCACCCAGCTAGTACTTGCCTAAGGTGGGATTTGACCTCAGGTATCCCAGACTGCTAGCCTGCCAAGCTGCCTCTGTAATTCTTCCTTCAAGGCTCCGCTCAGGCACCACCTTTTCTGTGAAGTTTTCAGTTGCTAGTATGCTGTCTCTCCCCAGATCACCTTGTATTTACCTCTCTGTGCGATGCTTAGACCCGCACTGGGATCCCACAGAAGTATACATGTAGGCTTTGCAAACCTCAGAGCGCTATATAAATGTTACCAACTATCATAGTTTCATTATCAGCTCTTTGAAGATAGAGACCATCATTTTTGTCCCTATATGACAAGAATATAGCAGCACAGTACGTGGAATATAGTAGGCACTTGCTAAATGTTTCTTGCATTTCACTGAATTTCTCATGCTCGCACAGTAAATGCCAAACATGGGATTCAAACCCAGGCCCTCTGCCTCCAAATACAATACTCTATGATTCCAGGTGCTACCACTTGCACCTGAAGGAGGTTCTGAAGTCTGGCCAGGGAAAATAATTAGGATGAAAAAAGAGACTTACCTGCCTTCAAGTAACAGAGAAAGGCGGTTGATAGGTGTCTCACCTTCCACAGCATAGGTTTGCTCGGTAGCTAGTGACAAGACTCTCTCCTCACAGCAGTGGACAATCTCTTTGTACGTCTGCAGGGGTACCTGCAAGGGCAGGTACAGGACCTTGTAGAGGTGGTCAAACTCTCCCACGAAGACATTCTTCCGTAGCTGGTACACCAAATGAGCCAGCTGAATCAGGCAGACTATGACCAGTAGGAAACTCCAGACAAAGATGTCCAGCCCACAGGCGAAAAACCAGCCCCACAATGCATGGCACAAGAAGCCAGTGGCTAGGAAGCTGAAGAGATAGAAACAACCATAGACACCGCTTCCCCCCATGAAGCCTAGCAGTACGAAACAATTGGCAAGGTGATAAAGTGCCCCTTCCGTGTCATGCTTCCAGCTTTCACACAGGGGGATCTGCCAAAGAAGTTGGTCCAAGACTGTGGTATTGTGACCCATCTTTCAAAGGGGTCTGGTCTCTGGGTACTTGGTTTAAAACTGCCCTGACATGTGAAATCAAGAAAATAAAGGAATCGGACTCTAAAAACCTGCTCACCTCCTGGCAACTTGCTGGCCCAACTCAGATTGCCTTCTTCAGGGGAAAGTTTCAGCCCAATTTTGGAGTTAAAAGAGCAACAGAGTCCAAAGGCTGGAGAGTTAAGGGGCTTCCCACTGTGGCCCGGGTGGGTCTCTTTGGCTACAAGCCCCTAGCAACAACACCCAACTGCTCAAATCAGAAGAAAAAAAAATCTTAAGAAATTTGTATTAGAAAAAAATAATATGGCCTGTGATTAAGGTTTCTCCAGGTTGTTGAAGAAAGCCAGTCTCAGGCTGTTCGCTGTTTCGCAGGAGGGAGAGTAAGGAGAAAGAGAGTGAGAGCATGCCCACGTGTTACATTTGGAATGCCTATCTCTTGGCCACGGAAATAGGAGTGACCCCACATGGATACCATGTTTGGAATTAGAATGCAAGGCGCAGGGACGGTGAGAAAAAGCAGGAACCAGTCAGACAGGCAAGCAGGCATACAAAGGTCACTTAACATAGCTCAGGAGAATTAGATAAGCCCATAGCATAAGTGAAGGGAGAAAGCATTAGAAGGGAGTAGAAATAACCCCTTTATTTAGAAAATAGTGAAGCATACCCCCTTTCCATCAAGGTTCCCTTGACTTTCAGTACTGAGGCTAATGGAAGTTTAAATGAAAATTCCCCTAAGCTTCCATGAATGTCTTAGGAAGTGGTTATTCCAGAATATATTATATCTATACATTTTAACTAATAGTTTTTGTTTTAGAGGTTGAGAAACTACCTTTTATAATAATAGTTTATTTTGTCTAGTGTTCCCTTAAAGATGATTGAATGCCTCTCCTAAGATAATATTATAGACAAATGATAAAGAATATTATATTTTCTAATACGTTACAAAAGTATGAGATTATTGTAGGGAAAAAAACGTTGTCTGTGTGAGATCTAGTAAGCTCTTTAAAATCCTACCTCCATTAAACTGTCAGCATCACTGACAAATATTTACTCACTGGCCAGAAGATAATACGAATATAAGATTTAGTACTGGTAGGGGTCTTAGAGGTCTATACTGACCCCCTCCCCCTCATTTTCTGTCATGCCTGGAATCATGGATGTAGAGGTCCAAAATCCTCATTTTTGAGGACTTTGACTTTTGAGATCACTTAACCCTGCTTGCCTCAGTTTCCTCATCTGTAAAATTAGCTGGAGAAGGAAATAGCAAAACATTCCAGTATATTTGCCAAGAAAATCCCAAAAGGGCGTCCCGAAGAGTCGGAAATGAATGAAAAATGATGAATATCAATGAACGAAAAGGCCAAGTGAAGTGATATGACCAAGATCATACAGGAAGTTAGGTAGCAGAGCCAGGATTTGCACCCAGGCCCTCTGGCTCTAGAATTCTGTCCATTGTATCACTTCTATTTTGCAAAACAAAATTACTAGAAGCAAAGTTTTTGATTCTCCTACTGGTGAGGGTGAAGGAACTTGAAGAACATCTCTCCACACTTCAGGCTGGTAGGGACAGGGAAGGGGGATCCTTTAAGGCTGATTTCTCAGGACTATCTGGCATGCTTTGGCAAGAACACTGGAAGCACAAATCTTAATTCCTAAGACTGGTTCCAGCACTGGCCCCCCCTTGCTACCTGGATGATGTTGGGCAAGTCACTCATCCTCTCTGGGACTCAGTTTCTTCATCTATAAAATGAGTGGGTGACTTCTACATGACCTCTAAGGTCCCTTGCCAGCCCTGAAATCTAGGATCCAATGAACCACCATGAATCACTAGTCCTCTTCTACAAAATGTGGTGGGGGTAATACAACTTGCCTAGCCTCATAGATGCGGTACATTGTAAACCTTCAGGGACTACATAAATGTCAGCTGTTCAGTCGTCTTCAGTCATGTCCAGTCCTTCGGGACTCCATTTGGAGTTTTCTTGGCAGACATACTGGAGTGGTTTGCTACTTCCTTCTCCAGCTCATTTTACAGATGACAAAATTGAAGTAAACACGGTTAAATGACTTGCCCAAGGTCACACAGCTAGTGAGTGTCTGAGGCTAGATTTGAGCTTAGGTCTTCCAGACTGAGCCGCCAGCTGCCTCATAAATGTCAGATCATGATTAATATTATTACTGCTTCTGGAATCAAACATCAGAGTTATAAAGGTGGTTGGGCTGCCCAAGCCAAGTCCCCCTCCCCTATTTCCCACTATGCATACATTCTAAATCAAAAGCAGCATATAAATAGATGTTTTAATTTTGATGTTTACAAAGATTCTGTTCTAATTTCAAAGATGGATACAGCTTGAAAGGCATATTAATTGACTCTAAACTGGGAAAATGAACTTGACATCAAGGGCTGATGATCACTGACTCTGAGGGACCCCAGATAAATCTCTATCTCCCTGTACGTCGGTTTTCTCACTTATAAAATAGGCCTTCTGATGCTTTGATTATGCTCATTAGGACTGGATGAAGATGATGTCTGATGATATAGCTAATAACAATAATAGCCAATGGCAGCTAGGTGGTCACAGTGGGTAGAATATGGGCCTAGAGTCAGGAAGAGCTGAGTTCAAATCTAGCCTCAGACACTTATTAGCTGTGGGACCCTGGACAAATCATTTAACCCTGTTTGCCTCGGTTTCCTCATCTGTAAAATAAGCTGGAAAAGGAAATGGCAAACTACTCCAGTATCCTTGCCAAGAAAACTCCAAATACGGTCATGAAGAGTCAAGCATGACTGAAAATGACTGAACAACAATAGCTAGCATTTATATAGAGCCTACTATATGCCATGCACTTTACAAACATTTTCTCATTTTATGTGCTCAACAACAGGTGCTCTTATAACCCATTTTACAGATGAAGAAACAGAGGTAAACAAGTAAAGCGACTTGCCAGGGTCACACAGTTAATTAGTGTCTAATTTGAACTTGTCTTACTGACTCCAGGCCTAGAGCTCTACCCATTGCAACCACCTGACTGCCCCTATTTTGCTGCTTCATTCATTCATTCATTCATTCAATGATTCATTCATTCATTCATTTTGGTTTACCCATTTGAACATCGTACATTTCCAAACAGGGGCTTCAAATATTGTACACATGGCCACATCTCATTCATCAGAAGAGAGTGGTGTGATGGGAGCTCAAGGAAGTAGCAGAGTCAAAGGAAGGCTTTTAAGGAGATCTGGATAAGCAGAAGAGAGGGAGTGGGAAAATTCAGAGAGGGGAATTAAAGTTTGAGATTTTGGAGGTGAACAAACTGTGATGGTAGTGAACAGCAATGATGATCTCCTTGATCCCGCCACACTGGTAGCTGACTAAAGCATAACTGAGGTGCAGAAATTGTGAGGCTGGTACTAAGAGTCATTCACATAGATTCTGAAGTCTCCACAGACGAGAGAGGGCAATCAACGAGTCAGGGAGTAAAGTCGTGGGGAAGCTTGCACGAGTTCTGAATTCACAGGATCTGAAAAGATCTCATCATTTTAGATGAGAATTTACCTCATTATAATGTGAAAGAAGGTAATCTGAGAAATAAAACCTTCACATGTGCCAGGCAGGAGATGACCTTTTTTTTTTTCTTCAGCCAAAGGAAGTTTATTAGTGATAAATCACATTGACCAGGTGACGCCTGTAAAGACAAACAGGCATGAGAGGTTCTCAGCCTTGTGGGCCTGAGATTCTCAGCATCTGAATGAGGGCCAAGGTGGATCTTAAATACTAAAGTAACTTTGGGTGTCCAGAGAAGGGGGTTGGGAAAAGGGTCTAGGTAAGAATTCTAATTGGGGAGGTCTGAGAGATTGAATAGACAATGGGAATAGCTAATGGAGGGAACAGGAAGGCAGAAGTTTGAAAGGCATCTGCACAAAATCAAGGTGGGGCTAGGACTTTCAAAAGAAGATAAGGGGAGTCGATAAGGAACAGTTTTAGACCAGAGAAGGACTTTCTGGGGCCTACAGACAAAAGGGAGCCAGATTCTTTTAGGGCGCATCTGAATAAGATTAAAAGTTAAGGCTAAGGCTTTCAAAGGAAAATGAGGGTCTGGAGCCTGTGAGTCAGATTCCCTTTGGGGCAAAGGGCAAAGATCTTGGCTTGGGCCCCACCCCTATCATTCCCCCCTCAAACAAATCGGAACCAAATTCTTTTGGTGAAAGGGGCGAAGGTCTCTGCTTCTGAAACTGCTTTCTGCTGGCAAGGGGCTTAGAGCTGTCCCTGCCTCTCTGGGTCCTGTTCGAGGGGTCAAACTTCAAAACCTGGCTCATGCCAGGTTCAGTGGACTAGAGACCTTGGGTTGGTATACAGTAGGAGATGACTTTCTTTGCGCGCACACACACACACACACACACACACATCCCTCTGCCCTCACCATCCCATGGGGCTCTAAAGCACTATGGGAGGTACTAGAAACGCAAAGATGAAAAATGCCGCCTTGAGGTGGAGAAAGGAAACTAAGTCTCTAGAAAAAAAAAGGACAGGGCAAAAGGACAATGTCCCTTCCTTATTGAAGTAATAGATTACATGCTGTCATTTCAGTAGTTAAACCAGGGGATTTCCACCTCTTTCCTTTTGCATCCCCTACCTTATATGCCTTTATTTTAAGAAGCAGTTATAATTTTTCACTCTATTCATATGCATTTGGGGCTGCCAAAAAAGAAAAAAAAATTTATTGCCAGCCTTGGGAAGGGTGTAAGGAAGCCACCAAAACAGTGAAACACCCTACGCCTCTGCATGAGATAGAATTTCAAAGTAGGTCATCTTTCTGGGCTGAATTCCCAGTCAGCATACCTGACATACTATTGTTGCTGGCATCTGTCCTTTAAAGAAACACTAGCATGTTGTGACTGTTTACTGACCATTCACCTGTTCTCACGTCAATTCATTCATTCCATCTCTCCTACCAAACTTTGTACTCTTTTAGATATCTACCCACCCACTCTGGAGTCTGCAAATCTCTATGGCTATGCCTGTTTCTACACATGGTGCTATGCCAATTGGGAGTCCCCTTTGTGATCTCCAGTTTCATATACCAGTGAGTTATTAGCTGGAATAATATCCCATAGTCAATTCAGTTAAATTAACATTTAATAAATGCCTACTAAGTGCCAGGCACTATGCTAGGCACTAAGGATACAAAGATGAAAAATTGTATTGCCTTCAAAAAACTTACAATGTGATGGGGGTGGAGACAGACTATTTACATAAATACATATGATATAAAGCAGCTAGGTAGCCCAGTGAATCGAGTCCTGGACGTGGAGTCAGAAAGACTTGAGTTCAAAGTCCTGTCTCAGATACTCACCAGCTGAGACCCTGGACCAGTGACTTAAGCACTGACTCAGTTTCCTCATATGTAAAATGGGGATAATAATACCACCTACCTCCCAGGGTTGTTGTGAGGATAAAATTAAATATTTGTAAAATGCTTTGCAAACTTTAAATGAGTTATTGTGGTGGTGGTGGTGATGATGAATTGAAAAAAGCAAAAGAGAAAGTTAGGGTGTTTTCAGAAAATGTAAGAAGGTAGAGACTCCTTTTAGCTTTAGGGTGGAGGGCATTGGGGAAGGTTTCATGGAAGAAGTGGTACATGAGCTGGACCTAAAGGAAGAGATGTTGATGGGGGAGAGGAAAAGAGAGAAAATACCAAAAGGGGAGGGAGGTGACTGACCTGTGCAAATGCACGGAGATGGGAGAGGGCAGAGCAAGACAGAATACAGTAGCCCTGTTTTTCTGGTTTGGAAGTAATATGAAATAAGACTGGACAGGTAGGCTGGAATCACATTGCGGATCCTCCTTTACTCTTGTCTGAGGAAGGTGTGGTTCTTCTTGCCCAGGAAGACACCTTTACTGTTTCTGCACTCAATCTCATTACTTCCTGTCTCTTTCAAGAGTTTGTATCCACAATGATTCCATTTCTCCCTCCCTCCGTCCATCTCTCTCCCCATCTTCTTTCCTTTCTCCTTCCTTTCTCTCTCCTTACCTATTAACTTTTTTTTCACTATCTACAAACATACTCGTCTACTCTGTCCTTAGGTATTCTCCCTTCAAGTATCCTAAGTATTACTTGCTGCTAATATTCCCTCTCCCAGAATAATTCTTATCTACTTCTCTCCCTAGGAGGGTGTCAAGCTTTTTCACCAGCTCTTGCTCAACAGGACAGGGTTTACTACATAACTCCCAAACAATTCCATTAAAGGTTGTCTCATTAACAATTCTAGAATGTACCAATGTTTCAGGCAAATAATCTGATCCAGCCCCTCAAAAACCTTAAATAGCTCTCCATTGCCTATAAAAAAAAAGTACATTACCGCTTGGCATTTAAAATACTTCAATCTGACACCTACCTTTCCAGCTTTATTTCACACCATTTCTGTTCATGTGTTCTGTGTCCTGTTCAAACTCAACTACCAGCCATTCATTCCCCAAACAATACGCCTATCTCCTGCTCTGCCATGTATTTACATGTTATTCCTCAAGCCTGAAATGTGCTCACCATTACTTCTCAGAAATCTTAAGAAACCTTCAAACTTCACTCACATGCCATATCTTCAGCAGTCTTTCCTTATCCCCAAACATTAACTGCCCACTCATTTAATTTTTTTCTTACACTATGCTTACTATCAATACTCGTTTTATCCCTGGATTTTTTCATTATATTGCCTTTTTTCCTTTGAAACCACTTATTATTTATGGAAAACAAGCATTTCCATAACATAATAAAAAAATATGATTGCACATAAAACTGCAAATTATTATGCACAACTTGCTATTCCTTTTAAATATATAATACTTATCATGTAAATTTTTTTCATCCCTCCCCCCTCCCACTCTAGAGATGGCTACACAAATAGGTATGCGTGTGTGTATGTATGTGTATGTATGTATATATATATACATATATATATATATATATATATATATATATATATATAGTAAAATTATTCTATGTATACTTCTATTTATCACTTCTTTCTCTGGATGCAGATAGCATCTTTATATATCCTTTATAGTTAATCTGGGTATTTTATAATAGTCAACAGTATTAGGCTAATTATGACCTAGGTAAAACTGTTTACTTCTTGGACCAAGACTCACCTGCTTGTAAACCTATAGTGAGGAACAGATATTTTAACAGAGGTTAAGCCCATTACAATGATTAAAGATGGTATCTGTAATTACAATTCTGTGAATGACTGAACTTAAAATGAAATTGCCAAAGTTAATACAAATTCTCTACACAAGCTTTCTATACATATGTCAGTGCCTACCTCAGGCATTTGTTGCAAAAAGAACAAAGAAAATTTATTAGCTGCTTAGCTGACACAAAAGGCTATTAGTACTGTTAATGCTATCAAGTCTTCACTGCTTCCTTATGTAGCGTAATGGCAGCTCCAGAATCTTAAAGGCTGGTCTGGCAGAGGGGGGAATCCCAAGGAGACTCCACCCAATGAGAAGTGCACCGGGTGGGAGGCAGCATGAAGCAGTGGAGAGTGGCTAGTTTGGAGGTAGAAGGCCTGCTGGATTTGAATTCTGGCTCCGTCACTTATGGGTTGTGTGACTTTGGGAAAGTCCCTTAATTTTTCTCAGCCTTAGCTTCCTTACCGGAAAAATGAGGGGGCTAGACAAAATAATCTGTAGAGTTCCTCCCAACTATGATCTCATGCTCTAAATTACTGAGTATGAACTCTCTTCTACCTACCAAAGTGCTAAACTAATAAATCAGTTACGAGGCATATAGTTTTCCCCAGTACTATCAATTTGTTTATAATGACTTAGCTCTTGCCCATTCTAACCAAGACAGCCTTTTAGTATTAAGGCCATAGAATAAGGATCACTGATCTATGTCAGGACTCGAACACATGATTATGGTCTTAGCAAATAAGTTAAACATACACTGGTTAACTTTTGAACAGAGATCTTTCCAGCCAAGGCACTGATGGAGTCCAGAATCCAAACAGTTCTTCCAAATGCAGATAGGTGAAGAACTCCAGCAGTGGCATTAATACAAGACAGAAACCTTGTGTAGTTTTTGCCTTAACAGCTACTCCAATATTTCAATGACCTGTAATTTCTTTACTGAGTACTCGTTTTATTAACTATAGCGCATAAGTCCTTTATATCCCTTAATAAATGGTATTCACAAGTTGTGGCAAAAAAAAAAATCTCTTGGTGGAAAATCCTTTGGTGATGAACGTCCCCAAAGTTAGTCTGGAGGAATCTTGGATGATCCTCACCTCTTTCATTTTACATAAGGAAGGCTTGGAGAGGTCAAGGGGCTTGCTTGAAGTTACACCACCAATAACCTAGAGCTGGAATTCATAACTCCGATTCTGACTCCACATGCATGAAGACTCCTACGCAGCCATTCCAAGTTTGGTGGGATCTCCTACAGCCAACCATCTCCTACCACAAGTTTTTTAATTCCAGGGTTATCTCTGGTATAAATCCCACCTGGATATCCAGTATAATCCTTGTGATATATTGTTGTAATTGCCTTGCTAATATTTTGTTCAAAATTTTTGCATCAATATTAGGGAAATTGATCTATAATTTTCTTTCTGTTTCAGCTCTTCCTGGTTTAGATATCAGCACTTATATTTGTGTCATTCCAGGTTTACCCCCATGCTACATAAGGAAGCATCACTAAGCATTGTTAGTGGAGAGTTAGTAAAATTAGCAACAATCCAAGGAGGCCTGCAGGGGGGTGATAACAGTTGTGCTGGTTTTGAATTGGTGGAAAGGCCTGCCTCCCAAGAACTCTTAGAACTTCCTCTGAAAAGAACAGTCTTACCAAAAATTTCCAGATGTCGCCCCTAACCATCCCCCCAAAAGCAGCATGTGGCACAAATACTTTTAAGAAGAAAAAAGTTGCAATATATATACCCAAATATTTTACCAGATTTTATATATATACATACATTTTATTTTTTAAAGAAATTATAAGTATTCACACATATAAGAATTTTATTCTTCAAAGAAGCCCCCAAATAATTTAATCCCATTCATTCCTTAGGAACTATTCTTCCAATGTCGGACAACCTAGGGGGAAAAAAAGATATTTTAGCAAACTGGACTTCAAAAAAACATGCTCTTTACTCTGACATCAATTAACAAACAATACTTGGAATGTCTCCCCTGAGAAACTGCCACAGCTCTCCTAATGTCAATGAAATTGTACTAAAGGTAAAATTTTTAATGGTTCTAGTTTCACTTAACTTAAAAACACTTAATGAAATAAGTTTTCAGAACTTAAAATATGCTAACATCAAACAGCTTAATCTCTGTAAGCCTTTGAACTAGGGCATACGTTTTCTTAAAAACATCTTCCAATAAAAGAAAACATTTTTTTGTTATTCTAAAGCTACCAAGAACACAGAGGCCTGTAGGTCATTTTGTTTGTGCAAGTGTGTTTGGCAAACACAGATGAAGTTGAAAGTTGCAAGGTCAGCTCAGTACATCACTGACTTCCTGTGGAAAGTTTTCAATTAATACCTAGTGTAAACTAAGAATTACAGCTGCTAAGTCCACTCTGAAAGAACAAAAAGGAACACTGCACAGATGACAGCAGTAAAAACAGCAGGCTGCCTCTCTTACAACATTTAATCATAATCTGGGACCACAGGGCAGCCAAGTACTACTAAAAAGGTAACAAGATAAATTAGGCTGTTCTGCTCCTCAAGTTTCAAGTAAATGCCTCTCCACCCAGCTATGATACAACATTCTGTGCACAAACCTAAAATCTCTTTTCTAAAGTCTCTGGAAAGAAAAAAAGTAGATAATGTTTTGGCAGTCAAGAATACTAGAAAATTAACCACACTCTTGCTCAATTCCTCTTCTGAGCGATACGTTCATGGTTTTTATATTTTTGTTTTCCTATAATTCACTAACAAATCATCATAAAATGAGGCACAGGAATAGATGGTATCATTTGGTATGCACATTCTCTCATTATTCATTTGTGGACACATAAAGCTGCTGGAGGAGAGGAATTTATTCATCTTTGTGTTCCCCAACTGTACCTAGCAGAGTGTTCTGCTCATAGCAGAGCCCAATAAATACTTTTTAGATGTACACACAGCGGAGATGATGTTTTCATACACTCCCTTCCATGGTATCTTTTTTCTTTTTAAATCAGCAATTCTTCATTACCTTCATATTGGCACATTTCACCTATCTTAATGTTTGGTTCAACTAAATAAGCATCCTTACTGCTCCTCTCTTCTCCAACTGAAAACTTGAGGGCCCTAGGATTAATAGCTATCAATTGTCATATCTTCCTTAAAATTTTCCTCTTCAGAGGGAGACTGCTTACTATCACTACACTTCTCTCAACCTTACTTTCTTCAACTGTAAACTATGGGGCTTAGAGTAGATCTCACTATGGCCCTTTCTAGTTTGAAAATTTTATGGTTTTCTAAAATTGGGTCATCTTTCTTGGAATCACACTGCCGTACACTGGCAAAAGGAAAATGCCTGAATTTACCATTTTCTGTATTTTTCCTAATGTAGAGCTCAGCTTCTTAACTGCTTTATTAAATAACTGTTAGCCTTGCTAAATGTGCCTCCTTAGTGCTTTCCAAACGCTATATAACATAAAACCCTGATATTTCACATTTTAGGGATTCTTTGAAAAATACTGATGCTAGAGATATTCTTCCCTAAAATAGCAAATATAACAATTATGTGGAAAGATTATATATAGTCATTTTTCAGTATAAAAATTAAACCTATTTCCCCTATTTTGCTTCAAAATTTACTCCACCTCCCTTGACTCCAAGGATATTCCATACCATCTATCAGCATTTACAGATTTCATCACTATATATCACAAATGTGAACAAACTTCATTTTAAGCTATTTCAATTAATCCCCCGAGGGTGGAAAAAACATTAATAGTGTTAAGAACTTGCCAGTTAGATTTACCCTCAGAGCAGTACAGGGAGTTCTGTACTAAGTGTAATCACTAGAATGCTGTGACCTAGTTCACATTCATACACCGTTTTTGGCAATGAAGCTTTATAAACAGCTTTCATAATAAGAGTTTTAAGGTTTATAGCACAAAGCTTATATGTAAGCCTAACAACTAACATTCTGGCAATAAAAGCTTCCCACACTGACAAGGTAGCATAAGAAAAAAAGCTTGTAATTTGAAGGTCCAAATACCTGGGTTATAGCCGTAGTCTACTATGAATTCACTTCTGTGACCTTGAACAAGTTTGAAGTTTCTCATGCCCCACTGGGATAAAAGGACATTTAAAAAAAAATACCTATTCCTATTTCATAAGGATTACAAGATCACAGATTTTGTGCTAAAAGAGACCTCAGATGTCATCTAGCCTAAGGCCCTCATTTTACAGATGTAGAAAACTATATTTGAGATTAAGTGACTTTGCTCAAAGTCATTCAGACAGTAAGGAACAGATCGAGGAATTAAACTCAGGGCCAAATCCAGCACATACTTTCCACTAAACCAGCCTACTCTCACAAAAGACAAGTGAAATGTACCAACTTCCTGGAACGGTCTCTCAAATTCAAGTTGTAACCAGGACTACTGTCTTCCTTTATACTCCAATATGGGAAACGAAGCTCTATAATACCTTTTGCTCATCAGGGACACTATGCATAAAGCAAAGAGTCCTGGTGATGTCACCAATGTAGTTCAAGCTAAATTGCTAACAGGCAGGAGGGGTGGGAGGCTCCTCCTAATGTCAAAATTATTCACTCTCATAAGGCTAGGCTAACTAAGATCCAGATTTAGTTTGCAAGAAAACTTCAGATCTTGAAGGTTAAAGATAAGAGGACTTCAAGTCTATAAATAAAGCCCCATTTAAATCAAACTATACAAAAATCTGGGATCATCAAACTAATTAAGGGAGAAGTTGCTATATAAAAGGATTCACTATGATTTAAGTAGTCAAAAGCCTAAGTTTGCTTAAAATAATTTGATTTACATCTGTATTAATTCTGATTATATCTGCCATGCAGTGAATTTCAAAACTGAAAGAAAACTAAAAAATAATCTAGGTCAACCTCTTCAATTTATAGAAGAGGAAATAGGTCTGATGAAAGGAAGTAACTTACCTAAAGATCAAAAGGCTAGTTAACGGTAGAGTCTAGAACAGGGGTAGGAAACCTGCAGCCTTGAGCCTTAAATCCCTAAAAGGATTTGTTCTATGAAGTTTGGATTCAGTCAAATGGTCTCACTTGAGGTCTTAGAGGCATCAAGGCTGCAGGTCCCCCACCCCTAGACTAAGGCTTAGATATCTTTACTCAGTCTAGTGCTCACATTTCATTTTCTGGCCTTTCCTCTTTCCAGCCCAGAGGGCAAGAACAATCCTAGAACTCCTTGGGAGATAGGAAGCAGGGGCATATATAAATGTGAGTATCAAGATATGTGACTTTGTTATCACTCAGCCACTCTGACATTTAAACTAGCAGTACAGTTTTGTGGAAGAACACTAGACTAAAAAAAAAAAATTAGGTTCTAGCCTCACCTCTGCCCCTAACTAGTTATGTGACCTTAAAGGAGTGACTTCACGTCTCCGTGTCTAAGATGTTTGATTGCTAATACTCCTTCCAATTCTAAATGTCAGGTTCAAAACATTCCACTAACGGCTCAGGTTTCATTTTAGAGAGGAACAATATAAAGCTTAATGAATTAATGAAATGAAAGCTTAATTTAATTCCATTTTGTATCTAATAAATGCACGTAGGGGTCCTCTAGTTCCTATCTCACAGTTCTTTATGAACTCAAGGGCATTCAAGAATGGGAGTTTTAAAATAAGCTTTTCCCTTTTGCTTTCTCTAAGTCAGAATCTGATGATTAGCCAAGTAGCATTCTGGACATACTGTAACCCTACTTCTCACCATCAACCTACCAACTTCCATGAATCTGAATAACACCCTCCACCTTTTTTTAGCTGCTATAGCTAACCATCACTGCCTTGTCTAAATGAACTCTTAAGTTCCAATAAAATTAATCAATCTTATTATATTATTCTTCCCATCCCACCTCCCAACTCTTTCAAGGTAGAGAAGTTGTACTTTCTATCCTGAAAGCAAATGGTTATATTACACAACATTTGTTTAAAAAATATTTTCCTTGACTAGTTAAAAAGTTACATTAATTCCTTTCTCCCAAAGCTACCACTTCAGATGAGGTACTGCCTAAGATGTAAAATGTTGATTTTTTTAATCTTTGTTCAATTGCAAAACAGATTAAACTAAGTCAAAGCAGTGCCCAAATTCCCTTTGCACCCAGTACTCACCATCCATACTCTACTTCTTTCATTCATATTTTGAATCCCAGGGCTCTCATACACTCCTTGTGAGCTTCAATTAGATGTCCACAGTGTTCTTCTCCTTTCTCAATGATGCTATAAAACACAGTTTAGTTATTATACAGCAAAAATAGGTATTAAGCTACTCAAGTAAAAAATACAGACATTCACAAAGGGAGACAATGTGTGTTGAGTGGTGGTCAAACTATAAAAACTTGTTATGAGAAATGCTGTTACAAAGAGCCTTTTATAATCAAAGCTATTTTGATGTCACAGATAATAAAAAAGTCCACCTACAAACATGCTTCAATCCTGTATTACAAATGTGTATGGTCTAGATGGTAAGTCTCTAGAATTTTAAAAACTTGATTGAATGCAAATTGTATGGCAGCAGGACAAAAACCAAGTTTTGGATCTGCCATCAGATCGAAATTATTCCTTGGCTCAACTTTAATAGAGTTTCACCTGTCCTCTCCCTTAAATCTTATGTTTATCACCTAAATAAAACCCACAAAAATTCCTAAAGTATTCAGCAAATAAAGACAAAAAAAGATCCCAGGCCCTGTGGCAACATGGCTGTTAACCCTCCACCGGGTTCAGAGAGCACTTTTTCACTTGTTACTAGAAAGAGGCTAGAATTCAGAATTTTCTTTACACTTGGTTTTCTAGCAATGCAGTTATTTAAATAAAATTCCATTGTAACAATAGCAAATCTATAAAAACTACCCTGATGGCCCAAAGAGTTTGTCATAAAGTTATTTGTGTGTATTTCTCAGATATTTTCCACTAGCGAAAAAAATTTCTTAAGGTTTTTTTTTTTTGCTTCATACTTTGCTAGGGGCAAGAAGAGAAAGAGAATTCCTGTTCTCAAAGTAAAGGATGGGGAATGTGATAAGGAAAAGAACTAAACAATTTCCTCAACTGAGGTAGCCTATACATTGGAAGTTCTGTAAAGGCTTGATCAAGATAACCCCTCACAGTCCAATTTCGGAACCACTAGCAAAGACATGTATTCCTAGGTATCCACCCAACAGCATGGCACTTTTTCCCATTGAAAATCCAAATCCAAAAGTGCTGAGATACAAATATACGTTAAAGTATATTTAATCCATGTAATCAGAGTGTATTCCGTACCCAGCCCCAGTACTAGGCTCTGGGGAGCACACAGAGAATAAAAACAGTTCTTTACTCTCTAGAAACAATCTAATTGACATGATTTAAGATACATACACATGAAACAGGCAATCATATATTGTTCTGAACATGTCAAAAAATACATGTTAACAGAGTCTCAAGTGTTATAATACCATTGGACATATGATTTAAAAAAAATTATCCAGGCAAACTGGTAAACAGATGGGAGAAGGTAGACAACGAGAAAAGAAAAAATGGGAACCAAATAACAGTAATAATAGCTGACTTTCATACAGCACTTTAATATTTGCAAAGCACTTTATATACAAAAGAGGATCACAACAACTTTGTGATATGGGCACTATGGGTATTGTCCCTACTTTACAGATAGAGGAAACCAAGGGGCTCAGAGAAGTGACTTGCCCACAGTTACACAGCTAGGAAATGAGAGGGGGAGATCAAGCTAGGTCTTCCTGACTCAAAATAAGGTATCAGAGGAGGTAAAAGGTTGAGTAAATGAGAATATCGGCAAAGATTAAAATAGCCACAAAAGACGAAAGGGAGGAAAAAAAAATCCCAACACACAAAGGCAATGACAACACCCTGCAAAAGCAATATATTATGTGCCATGACAAGTACTTAAAGTGGGTTAGTCTTTAAAACAACCTGCACAGATGATAAGAGCATATGGTTCGTCTGTTTGCTTGCTTGCTGAATAGTACAGAGATGACAGAAGCAAGGATCAAACTCTAGCCACACTGGAATAATGGACCAAACATAACAAAAATACATTTTACAGGAAATATTAATTCCTGCACTTTAAAGAAAAATTAACTGCACAAGTAGCAAACAAGGGAGAGCTGGTACTGTAACAAACCACGTGAAAAAAGCCTAGGAGTTTTAGTTTAGTCCAAGGGTAATGTGACTACCTGAAGAGTGAATAGTCTTAGACAACTGATGGAAGTAGTTACCAGAGCAAAAGAAGTATGGCATTTACAGTGGCCAGGCATCTGGAGTGCTGGGCTAAAATGCCAATTTTTGAGAGAGATTGGGAGTGCCCATGGTTCCAGAAACCACGCTACATGAGGATTAGTTGATGGAACCGAGGACACTAAATTAATGAATTCAGCATTTGTTGCATAGATTTTCTATGTTAATGTTCATTTTACAAATGAGGACACTGACACAGGTTAATTACCTAATCCAAAGTCTTGTGTAAGTAAAACTGGAGTTATTTTGTGGTGATCCAGAGAATAAAAACTAAGATAAAAAGGTAGTTGTAGATTTCAAATGAATGTAAAAAATAAATCTCTAAAACTTAGAACTGTTTAACAATAGAATGAATTGTTCTGTGGGATAATGACCTCTCTATCACTCGAAGTACCATCAACAAACAGACATTGAATTAACTTTTTTCAGGGATGTTGCAGAAAGAACTTCTATGTGATTTCAAAGGTAATTTTGAGGTAGGTTTTATACTTTTCCATCTCAAACAACCAAACATCATCCCAATAGAAAGTGATCTCTCATCTGACAGCATTCTGTACTATTCATGTACCTACTATATTCTAATACACATACACACACACACACACACACACACACACACACACATATTTAACCATATGGATGTTTTTACCCTTACAAGATTATACACTCTGATGGTGTGGCCCATGTCTTACTTTTCTTTGTCTCTTCCAGTACAATGCACAAAGAAGGCCTTTGAGAAATTATTTACTGAATGAATGAATGATTACAATGTTAGGAGAGTAGATTAGGTGATACCAAAATCCTCTTCCAAATCTAAGATTCTGTTAATTACTTTGGTTTGCTACTAACTACACTGTAGTACAGTGGAAAGAACACTGGATTCGTTCATTCAACAAGCACTTATTAAGCACTTAATGTGTGCCAATCAAAGTATACCTCAAGTACTGTTTTCAGTTGTGAGCATTACATTTTAGCAAAAACACATGACAAACAGGGTGCTCAGGCTATTGAAGGAACTCAGTATCTTGCTATATGAGGACTGGTTGAAGAAAGTGGGGATACTTAATCTGGAGAAAAATCAATCAACAAGCACTTGTTAAGACTCCACTATGTACTGCCAGACACTGTGCTATGTGTTGGAGAAAAAAAGACCAAAAATGGAGTTGTGAACAGATCCAACCATTTTGGAGAGCAATTTGGAACTGTGCCCAAAGGACTATAAAACTGTGCATACCCTTTACTCAGCAATACTACTTCTAGGTCTGTATCCCAAAGAGATCATAAAAACAGGAAAAGGACCCACATGTACAAAAACATTTATAGCAGTTTTTTTTTGTGGTGGCAAAGAACTGGAAATTGAGAGGATGCCCATCAATTGGAGAATGGCTGAACAAGTTGTAGTATATGAATGTAATGGAATACTATTGTGCTATAAGAAATGATGAGCTTTCCAGCAAAACCTGGAAAGACTTATATGAACTGATGCTGAGTGAATGAGCAGAACCAGGAGATTATATACAGTAACAGCAACACTGTGCAATGACTGACTTTGACAAACTTGGCTCTTCTCAGCAATGCAAGGATCTTAGACAACGCTAAAAGACTCACAACTGAAAATGCTATCCACACCCAGAGAAAGAACTATGGAGTCTGAAAGCAGATGGAAGCGTATTATTTGCTCTCGTTTTATTTTGTTGTTTTGTTTTATTGCTTCCTGCTCATGGTTCCTCCTATCAGTTCTAATTGTTCTTTACATCATGACTAATGGGAAAATATGCTTACTATGAATGTATAAATAGAGCCTATATCTGATTGCATGCTGTCTTGGGGAGGGAGGAGAAGGAGAAAATCTAAAACTCAAAATCTTATGGAAGTGAATGTTGAAAACTAAAAAAGAATAAATTTTTTAAAAAAATAAATAAAAAGCATAGTTCCTTCCTACAAGGTGTTTCCATTCTATAAGAAAACAACAAACTTACAAGTTGACAGAAAACATATACAAAGTAATTGTGCGTGAAATGAGGAAGAAGTCTACCGCAGGGAGAGTGAGAAGTTGGGAGCTGAGGAGATAGGGGGATATGCATGTGTGGAAGGCCTCATGTAGGAAATACTTCGGCACTTGGATTAAACTGGAGAGGTGAGGAGGAAGGGCATTCCAAATGGAAAGACACAGAAATGGGAAAAGGGATGTTGTTCATGAGACATCAAATGGGTCAACTTCTTTCGAACACAGACATGAAAAGGGAATTAATGTGTAATTCTGGAAACAGGCTGGAGCCATTTAGTGAAGGGCTTTAAATAAGAACAGAAAAAAGAGGTTCTATGTGATCCTAGAAGCTACAGGAAACCGAGCTTTCTTTGAAGGGCAGCATGCCAGTCAAATTTAATCTTGAAGAATATCACTTGGGCATCTGGGTAGAGCACAGACTGGGAGACCAGTTGGGAAGCCATTTGGATGTGACACGTAAGAGGTGAGGAGTGCCTGAACTAGGCTGGTGACAGTGTGAGTAGAGAGAAGACAGAAGGAGAGAGCTAATGTATGCCTTCCAAAGACTTGAAGGGTTGTCATACATATAAGAGAGGTAGTATTGTATTGTGCTAGATTTGAAGTCACGAAGACCTGGGTTCCAATCCTATCTTAGAGAAAGGAAAATTCTGGGCAAACCACATAACGTCTCTGAGTCTCAGTTTCCTTATCTGTAAAATCAAGAGATTAGACCAAATGGTTCCTAAGGTCTTACTCAGCTTTTTCATCTTGGAGCTGAAGAATGGATCAGTGGGCAAAAAAGTTAAGAGAGATGCAGAGTTCAATACTAACATAAAGACAACCTAAGTGTCAGAGCAGTCCAAAGATGGAATTGGCTTTCTTACAGGGCTCTAAGCTCAGTATCCCTGAAAGCTCTCACAAAGAAGAATAACCACCTGTCAGAAGTACAGTAGATGGGACTGATGTTTTAGGTAATAGCTAGACTAGATGATATCAAAAGTATTTTCCAGTTGTGCAATGCTATTGTTATGCTTTTATTATTTGAAAAGAACGGAGTACTGGTGAGAACACTGAGTTCCATATTTTGGAATCTTCTGTACACCATTATATAGCTATACACTACATCACAGACAAAAGAAAAGAACAAAGAGTACAAGCAGGTGATTTAAAAAAAAACAAGCTAAGAATAGTAAAGTGATCAGGAATGTGCTGTTTTCTTTTTTAAAGTAAAATTTTATTGATGTTTTATTTTTTACATCACCCAGATTTCTCCCACTATGCCTTGTCCCTCTTCCTAGAGAGCTACTCCATTTAACAAAGTTATTCAGAAAAAAAAAAAGAAAAAAAATCAGAACTAATCAAAACATTTGAGGGAAAAAAAAAAGCCTGAAAATACAGGTAACATATCCCAACCATGGACCTCCAACCTCTGCAAAGGAGTGAGATGGGGGTATCTTCTCCTGTCTCTCTCAGGCGCCATGTTTGTTGTTTGTAATTTTGTAGCATTCACTTTCTTATTGTTTTGTGATCATTCTATTTATGCTCTTATAATCATAGCATACATTGTTTTCTTCGCCCTCCTTTATTTCACTGTACATCAGATTCTTTAAACATTTCCATGATTCTATCATATTTGTCATTTCTTATAGTACAGCAACATTCCATTACCTCCACAAAGCACAATTTGTTTAGTCATTCCCCAATCTATGGGCATCTATTTTGTTTCCAATTCTTTGCTACAACAAAAAGTACTGCTATAAATTTTTTGGGGTATATGGGGACTTTTTTCTTCTTAATGATTTCCTTGGGTATAAGCCTAGCAGTGGACTCTATGGGTCAAAAGATCCAGACATTTTAGTCACTTTTTTTGCATAATTCCATCTCATCTCCTCCAATAGACTATCCTCTGTTATCTCCACTCTGCTGCTCACCTATGCCTCTCCCATCCTGAAAAAAACATTACTTGACCTTTCTTTCCCTGCTATTGCCCTATATTTCCTCCACCCTTAGCTGCCAAATCCAATGGACTTTTCTCTATCCTCACTCTCCTCCACATCTCTTCAGCCTTTAACACTATCGATCACTGTCTCTCCTCTCAGGGTTCTCTCCTGGGCCCTCCTTCTTCTCCCTCTATACTATTTCACTTGGTGATATCATCGTTCCCACAGACTTAATTATCATCTCTACGCTGATGATTTTCAAATCTACCTATTCTGCCCCAACTTCTCTGCTGATCCCCAATCTCACATCTCCAAGGTGATGTCCAGTAGACATCTTAAACTCAACAAAATGGAACTCATTTATCTTTCCCTCAAACCCTCCCACCCTCCCTTATTACTATAGAGGACAACATCATTCTCCCAATCCCTCAGGATTGCAACTTAGAAGTAATCCTGGACTCCTCACCATCTCTTATCCCAATCTCTTATCCCTCTCATATTCAATCTGTCCTGTCAATTTCACTTTTGCAACTTTAATATACCCCCTTCTCTCTTCTGACGCTGCCACCACTCTAGTGCAGGCCCTTATCACCTTACACCTGCTCCAAGTCTATCTTCACTCCAGTCCATTCCCCATTCAGCCAATAAGTGGTTTTCCTAAAGCGCAGGTCTGATCATGCTCCTCCCCACTCCATAAACTCCAGTAGCTCCCTATTATCTCCAGGATCAACTACAAAAGCTCTGTCTGGCATTCAAAGACCTTTATGACCTAGCCCAGGGGTGAGGAACCTGCTGCTCTGAGGCCACAGGTGGCCCCCTAGGTCCTCAAGCGCACCCCTTTGACTGAATCCAACCTTCACAGATCAAATCCCCTTCAAAAGGCTTCACCCAACGACCTACATACAAGGCCACAGGTTCCCCACCCTGGGCTAGACCACTGAAGGAGAAGTAAAAAATGAACTAGCCTTAGAGGATACTGAATTCCCTGCCTTTAAAGGTTTTCAAATAAAATGTGGGCAACTATTTGTCAGAAGTACTGCAGACAGAATTCACAGTTTGAGGACAGGAAAGACTAGATCATCTCTGAAGTCTTTTCTGCCTGGGAATTATGTTTGTTAGACTTCTATATTAAAAGATATCGTTTTTCGATGATCAACTGTGAATGACTTAGCTACTCTGATCAATATAATGACCTAAGACAATTCAAAAGGAATCATGATGAAAAATGCTATCTACTTCCAGATAAATGATGAAATCTGAATGCAGATTAAAGCATAATTTTTTCACTTTCTTTTTCTTACTTTTTTTTTTTTTTACAACACAGCTAATGGAAATATGTTTTGCATGATTTAACATGTTTAATTGGTAATAATACTGCTTGCCTTCTCAATAGGTAGAGAAGGGCTGGAAGGAGAGAATTTGTAAATCAAAAAAAAATTTTTAAATGAATGTTAAAAATAAATAATAAATTAAGAACAAAGTTCATTTAAAAAAATATAATTTTTTAAAAAACTACCATAAAATGAAATGTAACTTAGTGTGGCAGACAGAAAATCTGTCTAAAGGGTAGGAAGACCTGGGTTTAGGTCCTGCCTGTGACACATGATAGCTTGACAAATTACTTTAATCTCTTAGTACTCTAGATAACTTTTCCAACTCTTGCAAAGAAGGTATTAACCTGCATTGGTAGGGAGTTCTCTGTACTATAGGTATCCAACACATAGCTACTGAGGCACCAGGATTCCCAAAAATATAATGGGAAACATTTAACAAGATAAATAAATACATTAGAACATAGTGTATATTAATATGTAGTTTTCTAAGTCAACGTGCTACCTCCAGGGATCTTTACATAGGATTTAATGGCCTTATTTGAGTTGTACACCACAGTTCCATCCCAAAGAGCTCATAGGTCCCAGTCCCTCCTCTTCCTAGCCCTAAAGTATAATATATAACAATAAAGTACCAACCACAAAATAGCCTCAAAGAAAGACAATGTCAGACCTGATTTTTTTTTAAATTATTCCCTTTCATTTTAAAGATGCAGACATGAAAGCTTGGAGAAGTGATTTCCAAGGTCACAAGAGGTAGGCGAGAGCAAGGTCACGCCAGGCCCGTTTTTTGGACCTTCCCCTGCACCTCGTTGCCCGGTGCTTCGCAGGCAGGGCTGGGGAAGCCCGGAGCTCGTGCTGGCTCCCTGGAAAATGAGGAAGCTGCTCCAGACTGGAGGTTCTTAATTTGAGGGGAGGGGGGGAAAGTGTGTGGGAACGTAAAAAAAAATTTTTTTGTAATTACTTTTCAGTATACTTTGTTTCCTTTGTGATCCCATTTATTTTATGCATTGGAAAAACGTGACTGCGAGGAGGGGTTCCCATGGCACGTGACGCCGGCGGGACACAACTTACCAGGCATCCCGGGCTTTCTTCGTCTCCGGGCATGCACAGCACGGCTTCAGCGGCTTCTTCTCCACCGCCTTTTCCGAGGAGTCGGAGTCATAGCTGGCAGCGGCCAGAGTGGACATGTCCGGAGCACGCGCAGAGGGAGGCTCCCTGGGCACCCGGATCAACAGGGGTCATTTATTACACGGCGGCCGGCTCACCCTCCCGCCCTCCCAGCCCCCCTTCACCCCACGGGATTCCCTTGGTCCCTGCAGCTAGAGCCTGGGAAGACCTCATTTTGTGAATTCCCCACTTGGCAGGAACAGAAGCGGATCTTACCTCCGAGAACTCAGTACATGAGCTGGCGTTACGGACCTCGCCAAAAGCTGGGTAGAAAATGGGGAAACCGGAAGTCCCGCCTACCACGGTCCCGGCCGCTTTTCAACGGGACAAGCCATGGAAGAGAGATCAGGCTCGAGTCATAGAGTGTTACCCGGAAGTAGCGGGACCGGAAGTGCACTTGGCAGTGAGGAACCGGACGGGAAAGGTTTCTTGTGGTTGTCGCCTCCGGGGTTCATAGGCATCTACTACGCTAGCTTTTTTTTTTTTAAACTGTCTTGCATAGGCGAAGATGGCATGGACAGTAAGATCCTGGGAAAAGAGCTTTTTCATCTTGAGGAGACTTAGCAAAGCAATACATCGTCTTATTTTTACTTAGGTGCCCTTCAAGTCCTTCAGTGTCCTCCCTCCCTTCTTTCCTGGCAGCTTGGTAGAGCAGAGCACTACACTACACTTGGTAGGTAGGGCACTCACTGGTCCCGGAATGACGAAGATTTGGGTTCATATCGTGCCTCAGACACTTAACTAGCTGTGTGACTAAGGGCAAGTCACTTACTTCTGTCAGCCTCAGTTTCCTCAGCTGTAAAGCGGGGATAATAACCTTCCAGGCATGTGAGAATCAAATAAAATATTTGTAAAGCGCTGGAGAAGAGAACACTTAGGGAGGATATTAGGCAAAAGTCGTGTCTGACGTTGTGACCCCCTATTTGGAGTTTTCCTGGCAAAGATTCTGGAGTGGTTTGCCATTTCCTTTTTTAGCTCATTTTACAGATGAGAAAACTGAGGTAAACAGCGTTAAGTGACTTGCCTAGGGTCACACAGCTACTGAGAGTGTGAGGCTGAATTTGAACTCAGGTCTTCCTGACTCCTGGCTTGGCACTGTATCCACTGCACCACGTAGATGCCCTTTCTAAGGATTAAAGCTATTTAAAAACAGAATGGGCTGACTGAATTGGTAGTGAGTTCTCCTCTTTTGAGATATTTAAATGTAGACTTCTCAGGAATGTTGAAAAGGTTTTTGTCTTTTGTTTTTATTCTTCTAGTATAGTCTATAGACTGCCACTTCCAATTCCCAAATTCTAAAATTTTGCAATTTTATGATACTATGTGAAAAGCACTATGCTAGACTCTGAGTATACAAAGTCAAAACGGAAAGGAAGAAAAGTCTGCTCTTTTTTCAATTCCTCCCATTCCAGTGAGAGGATATGAAGTCAGAGTATATGGGTTTGAATCTTGGCTCTACTACTTACCACCTGTTTGACCTTGGGAAAGGCATTTTAACTTCTCTGGACTCATGTTCCACATCTGTAAAATGAGAAAATTAGATGAGGTGATTTCTAAGGTTCTTTTCTGCTCCAAATCTTAACAATTGAGTTTTTTCCTGCTAGCTATTCTTATTCCTATTTCAACAAAGTTGGCTGAAAATGAAATATTTTATACTCCAAGGAAAAAGAGTGTATGTTTGTACCAAAGGATATTCTCTTCCAAAAGGAAATATAGAATCACATGAGAGAGGTAATTTATTTCTATTATTTTTGTTCAGGAACAGTTCTCAAACTTCCACTTCATTACTTTCCCCCTGTATTGCTTAATAGATGATGAATTTAGAATATGCCATTTTTAATTTTTCCTTTGCAAAAAAATATACCTTTTGAATTTATGAAAGAAAATTAATTTGAAAGCATTAATTTTTAACTAATGACTTCATGAGACTTCAAATATATATATTTTTAAAATTTTATTTATTTTTGCCAAACTATTATATCATTTAATTTAGGGAAGAAAGTCTTGGATTTTAAAGGAAAATTTCAGTTTATAAAACATGTAAAATAGTGTTCCCATACCTCTTCTAAAACCTTAACAATAATCCTAACACACCTCCCAGAACTCTTCAAAAAACAACCAAATGTCAGACTAGAAAGGATGTTACCTTTTTTTCTTTCCCAGGGGTTGAGGGGTGGGTGGGAATGGAATTCACTTGGTTGTGAGGAGGATGAATGATGATAGAGTCTATTATAAACCTCCATTGTATAACCAACTTTCCTAGTTATGTGCCTTCACTACCACTTTCACATGCTCTTGCCACTCACAGTTCTAATTTTTAGCCGGAAATGTTTTCTAATATGAAAGGATATAAGTCTTTGGGCTCTTTGTTTTGTAATAACTACTCAAGTATCTTCTTTGTCATGGAAGCAACAAGTCCTTAAATGTTTACTTGAATCTTTCATAGAACACTGGTTGGTAGAAGTTGACTTGTCAAGGGAATCCTTTCCCAATAGATGGTTTGGCCAATATGGTGAAGACCCTGTTAATATAGTCATTCTTGTTCATTTTTTATACTTCACTACTTATTTAAATGGATAATGTGATTTAATTTAAATGGATACCCTTTTCAGTGGTACAGCTTGAGACCCATTCATTTGTTGATTCTTAGCAACTCTTATCCATATGTCCATATAACTCTTCTAAAGGAGGTCCACCTAACATGCCAGGGATCTTTCTCTTTCTTTTGTTCTCTTAACATTACATCAGGACCAGTGGGTGGTCCATCTGCTATCTCTTACTTCAGAGCCATAATTCTCTACAAGGGCAAGAAGTATGCTCTAGGTATGTGTTCTTTGGAAGCTTCCTATTTAGATTAATTATTCTTACTAATTACTAGATGTAGCTATTGCAAGCTTTTGGAGGATTGTAAATACTATTAAAGATTTTTAAAATTTCATCCCCACCCTAGTCACAGCACTGTCATGTACTCACTACATGACTCACCTATTTCCTTTTCTGGTCACACTTATCTTTATTATGTTTACTCTTGTATACAAATCTTGCATTCTTTTTGCATTTCCCCATTTTCCTTGGGTGACTTACAAATTCTTCAGAAATTATGGTATTTCATCTTTCATAACCATTTGACATCATTTGAAGAATATTGGTTTTAAAGACATGGATTTTTGTTTTAGGGACGTGTGCTACAGTTACCCAAAAATAACACTCGGAGATTTTCTAGGTATAAAATGAAAGATTTATTACGTTCTCGCGAGAAGCAGGCGTCTGCTTCGTCCAGCAGTCCGAGCAAAGCAAGGCGAGGCACAAAGGTCAGAACAAAGGTTATATAGTCCTAATGCAGAGATACCCACCTACCACTGGCTGTAAATTCCCATGGGACAGCCTTACAATCTAAAACGTGAAAATCTACCCCAGAAACAAGGAATCTCATTATAGTACTACCAATCCTAGCTATTTTATCCTTATTTAGCATTAGCCATTACCTAATACTAATGTAACAGTACAGATCATGTGTTTTTTTAGGAACTTGAAACTTGGGCCTATTCAGGCTAGCTTAACCAACCTTGAGTTTGTAACAGTCTACAAAACTGTTACACTCAGTCCATCTGAGAGATCTCACATTGTCTCACTCAGTCCCTCCACTTTTTATCTTACTGAGATCTCTTCAAAATTTTGTAACATCATCTCACACACTTTATCTAACTTCTCCTTCATTCCTACCAGGATCATCCTGTTCTGATGCTGCAATAGGTACCCAACCCTGTCCCTGCAAAAGCAACATTCTAGTATTATCAGAAGCAGTAGTAATCATTTTAGCAATACTATCTTTTACTAACTTAGTAACTAATTGAATTATACAAGGTGTGCATATAGGAAGTAAAATAATCCTACTAAAAGCTATCAGCACAAACTACAGGAGTTGTTTCCACCAATTACCCCCAAACCAGGACCACCAAGTGGTGTTAAAGGGAGTTGACCGTGTTTGAACCAGGACATGGGCCAATTTTCTAATTTCTTTGTTAATATTTTTGACTGCCTGTCCTACATCATCTAGTTTTATACAACATGTTGACAAATTCAGTTTCCCACATACGCCTCCTTCTTCAGCTAACAAATAATCCAATACTAGTCTATGTTGCAGAATAGCCTCCCGGCTCTGCTCGGCATAAGATGCAAGTAAATCAGTGGTTTTGGTAGTCTGATTAGTTATAATTTCTACAACAGAGTAAATAAATCGGGGTCCTGTATCCCCAACTTCCATCTTGTGCCCAGGTTGCTGGTCCATATTCTTTTATTATCCTTTCCAGGGGCCAACCATTCCCCCAACCATTAGCATTTCCTGTAGATGCTATTGATGAATCGATTCACCTCCCATCTCTTTCAAGGTCGTCATATAGTTGTTTCCCTAACTGCTTCCCTTCTTGTTCTGGTAACAATTTCTAGTCCAATCTGTTGGAAGGTGTATAAACCACATATCCAATAATGGCCTTTTAAAGCTGGTTGTTTTTTTTTTTTTACTAAAAATTCGACTCACATTTCCTCTTGATGGATAATATTGAATATCCCTGTCTCCCAATGGTCCCCCTCGGAACCGTATATGGTCCCCATCTTTATAAATACATTTCCATAGCTGTTTATTTTTTTTCCAATTATAGTTTTCCACCCCAGATCCGAATTAGTACTATCTTCCTTGCTCCAAAATTTCCTAAAATATCCAGACCATGTTTGATTTCTCCATGCCCAACCATAATAAGGAAGCCTCAGTTTACCATTAATACTGTTATCATCTTTACATAGATTTAGTCGCTCTAAGTCACCAGTTTCCTGGGAAAGATTACAGCTTAAACGAGGATTCCCTCCTGCCAATACATATCTGCAGGTTTGTGCGTAATTAGTACCAATAAGGTACCTTGCATTCTTACATGATATCCATGTCCCATTAGTGCATTTAATATGAGTGGCATTCCATCTACCTTGATATAGGGAACAGTCAACTTCAAAGTAACCAATCTGGCAGGAATAAGTATACTCACATGTACTCATCCCCAATTGCTTTCCCCTACCCTTTTGATTAATACAATACTTCCATTTAATTGATTCAACTAGGGGCCAGGAATGTTCTTCAGTCTCAGCCCAAAAACCTGTTTGATTATTAACCTCTGATCTGTTACTTAAGATCCAGGCCGGACTTAAGGGCACGGGTACCCATGGCCATTGCTCAAGCTGTTGAGGCCCCCCACAAATCAACAGTTCTTAAGGTTAAATATTTCCCCTACTTTTTGCATAAGTTGTATAAATTGATTCTCTTGTGGAAACAGTACAGGG